TGAGTGTGTTACTGTTGCTCGGAGGCACAGGAGCCTCACAAGAAGGATAAAGTTGGCGCTCGGTTGTGCTGCGGAACCGCTGCAAAGTGGCTTTCGCGAGTCTAGAACCTGCTGCACACGACTAGTGGGGACATGGTTCTGTTTCCAATGTATATATTTATTGCTAAATAATGTTCTTTTTTGGGGGGGGGGAAAGGCCTCATAGAAATACATTCTTTTTAATAAATCAATAGGTGGTTTCACAATAGCATTGCTTCAAATAGGGGACTTCACAACCACCTTGCAAATGAGGAGGTATGAGTTACTAGCTTGGAGTGTTTTTCTTATCTTTCCTGCCACAGCCCACGGCCCTTATCTCTTAGATGGGGAATGAGTGGCCTTCCAGACGTTGGATTCCACCCATCCTCACTATGCTTGGTAAAGCTGATGGGATTTGTACTCCCCAAATCTTTAGTAGATTATGTGTTTTCCATTCGTGTTCCATACCTTATTTATTGATTGAATTATTTGATTTATACCCCGCCTATCTGGACTACCAGTCCACTCTAGGCGGCTTCCAATACAAAATCGGACAATAAAACAGGCAAGTACATGCTAATACCTTGCTTGACTTCTGTGCAAGGTGAGAGCAGAGCTCACCTCCTTTGCTAGTCTGTTAACTAACCTGTGTGATTTTTCAGGATGATCATAATATAAACCCTACCCCCAAGCTAAGCCCCAGTTAAGTGAAAGCCCGCGCTCCACCATTGTGCAGCAACCAGAAGAAGATGACATGACTATACTTGAATAAATGTAGATTGTTGTACATGAGAAAAATAAAAAACTCTGAAAATAAGCCCTAATGCATTTTTGGAGCAAAAAAAATACTGTAATATAAGACCCTATCTTATTTTCAGGGAAACACAGTAGATAAGAAACAAAATTAAAATGTTCCATTTACTCACAGTTCTGCAGATATCAAAATAAACAGCATTCTGTAGAAAAACAGTGACTGGTTTGACTGGTTACATTAGCTGATTCAGTACATTTGTGACTGACTCACTACATGACTTGCTGACTGACTATGTTGCTCTGTCCGCAGACTGAATGAAAAGACAGAACTTTTTTTGGGCGGGGGGAAGGCGGCATAGAAATATTTTAAATAAATCAATAGCCTGCAGACAGTTGAGTAGACATCTGCTTCTCTCAGGCTGGACATACAGTAGGACCCCTGTATCCGCTGGACCAGTATCCACAGTTTCACTTATCCGTGGTCTGAAATTTTGAAAATGATTAAAAGAAAAGGGGGTAAAATAGAAATAAGTATTTTCACAATATATTTACCCAAACTGTCCACTGTAGGGAGCCTGAGACCATACTAAGTATTGTTATTGTTGAAGAATACACAGCATGGTCTCTGGCTTCCTTGGTTGGCCAGTTCTGGTGATACAGGTGAAAATACATATTCCTGGATTCTGCTCTTTTGCCATACTAGTTACTAGTATTTATCCATTCCGGATAAATCCTCGCTATCTGGAAACGTCGCTTTACGGGGCAGAAAACCCCATAGGGTTTTATGCGTTCCTATGGGGGATAAACTCACAATTTTAGCTGTTTAATGTGTTCCTATGGGGGATAAACTCACCGTTAAGCGAAGATTCCCCATCCGGCCGCCATTTTCGCCGCTTCAGTAAGTGAGGAATCGGTGCGAAAACGCTGCGGGCGGCCATTTTCTTCATCCAGTGGCCATTTTGGAACTGCCAATCAGCTGTTCTGCAAACATCGCAATGCGAAGATCGGTAAGCGAAACGCTTACCGATTATCGCAATGCGATGTTTTGCCTATTAAAACATCGCAATGCAATCGCAAAAGTGATCCCACAATCGGCATCGCTGTGCAGATTCGTCGTTAAATGGTGCGCTGGTTATGCAATCGGCATCGCTGTGCGGATTCGTCGTTAAATGGTGCGCTGGTTATGCGAGGCACCACTGTAGTATTCACTATTATCCACAGTTTTCAGCATCCATGGGGGCTTGTAAACAATGCCCCACAGATATTGGGTTCGAACTGTGCTTTCTGATTCAGAAACTGTGTTTTCCAGTTCCAAAATCACTTGTATCAACAGTTCTACATACATAGTATGTCATGCATTCCCATAAAGATTGCTTACTTACCAAAATGCTGAAATCAAGTCACGGCCAGCTGAACTCACACACCTGCTGAAACAAAAAGGGGAATGCACTATAAAATTATGCAGAAGATGAATAAAGTGGATAGAGGGAAGCTCTTTTCCCTCTCACGCAATACCAGAACCAGGGGACATCGATTCCAATCGAGTGTTGGGAGAGTGAAAACAGACGAAAGTATTTCTTGACCCGGCGTGCTGTTAGTCTGTGGAACTACTTACCACAGAATGTAGTGATGACATCTGGCCTAGATGCCTTTAAAAGGGGATTGGACAGATTCCTGGAGGAAACGTCCATCGCAGGTTACAAGTCATGATGGGGATGTATAATCTCTGGGCTTAAAAGGAAGGTACTTCCAAAAACCAACTGCAGTGGACGGTATCAGGAGACATGTATCTAGCTGTCTCATGTCCTGCCAGAGGCATCTGGTGGGGCCACTGTGAGATATAGGGAGCTGGACTAGATGGGCCCTTGGCCTGATCCAGCAGGGCTCTTCTTATACGTTCTTATGTTCTTAAAGAGCTCAAATTCCCAAAGCTTCCCAATATAACATCAATAATATAAGCGTATTCAGTAAAAGATTAATCATGTTGTACTTCCTGTCATTGCAAAATGTGATACATGTGATTGTGGAATTCATAGAATCAAAGTATTATAAAATAATTGAGATGGAAGGAGCATAGAAAGCCATGGGGTCCAACCCCCTGCTCAATGCAGTAATCCAAGTCAAAGCAGATCTGACACACGGTTGACCAATTTTCTCTTGAATGCCTCCAATGTGGGTGCACTCACCACCTGCCAAGGTCACTGGTTCCAATGTCATGCTGCTCTAACAGTTAAGATGTTTTTCTCTATCTTCAGCCTAAATCTGGCTTCCTGTAATTTGGGCCCATTATCATGTGTCCTGCAGTCTGGGGTGAGTGAGAACAGATCCTGCCCCACTTCAGTACAACTGCCTTTCAAGTATTTGAAAAGTGCTATCATATCTGCCCTCAGTCCCCTTTTTCTCAAGGCAAAACATTTGCAGCTCTTTCAACATTTCCTCAGAGGGCTTGGTTTCCTGTCCCCTGATCATCCTCAGGTGAGTAGAAACCATCATCCTGGACATGACTACAACAGAACTCTTCCAAATGTTGAAAGAGAAGACACCTTGCAGCCTGGTGGGAGAGGAGTGAGCAGAGTGAAAATCTGAATTAGCCCCAGGATAGACCTGCAAGGGGGGGGGGAAGTGAGGTGGGAGAGAAAAGAAAGAGAAGAGAGAAAGAGAAAGGGTAATTGTCGGGAATCCGGAAGAACGGAAAAAGAATCACGACCGCTGAGCAGAGGGGAAGACTGGGTCACTGGATTGGTCCATGGGAGGACCAGCCAAGAACAGGTGTGCCTCGGTAGATGAGAAGGAAGACGCAGCAGGAAGCACGAGATATTTCAGGGCTCCTAAATCATGCAAGGATGAGCACCGGTGCTAGTTTTGAATTAAAATGATATACACAGGCAACAACTACTACTACAACAACAAAAGGGAGCAGAATAGAATACAACTGATCAAGGAGGAAAGTAAATACAATTCTAAATTTTTTAAGGTGACAAACGTGTGGGGGAGTAGGCTTGGAGCCAT